GGCGGGCGGGCCGGGGCAGCCCAAGGCGCTGTTCGTGGTGAGCGGGCTCCTGCGCGGCCGCACGGCCGACACCATCCACGATGTGCTGAGTCTCAGCAGCTTCCAGTACTGCGTGGTGTTCACCGCTGCTAGCCCTGCCGCCCACCTGCTGGCCCAGCGCGGTGGCGCCGAGCACGACGCGGGCGGTGCGGCTGCTGCTTTCGAACTGTTTGAGGAGAAGATGTGCCAGTGGATGGGCAACCTGGGCTACACGGCTGAGGTGCTGCACGTGCCTCTGCTCCTGGTGCCTGTCTCTGCGCACCTCTTTGTGATGCCCGCCTTTTCCTCCCTCTTCCCCCTGATGCCTGAGGACCTGCCTCGCCTCAATTCCTCCAGGCCCGAGAAGAGAAAACTCAGCAACTTGAGTGACCTCGACTTTGCCTTGCTTCCCACTGAGCTGCAGCTTCAGATCCGGATGCTGGTGTCGGGCCTCAATGCCTTGTTTGAGTTCCTGGACGTGAGAGAGGAGAGCTTTGCCATTGGCACACTGAGCAAGGTCATTGCAGGGGATTTGGCAAATTATGCCCTGGCCAAGAACCGGAGGAAAACAGCCCAAGGCAGAGCTTCTGTCATCTTCATAGACAGAACACTGGATCTCACTGGTAAGAAGAACAATGCCTGGGATGGCAGGCATAGCAGTTGAGACCCAGGGTCCTTTGTAGATGGTATTCACATTATGATGGTGGTCCATATATTTCAGAGTTAGCATACAAAGGAGCATGCATACACATGTGGCCTTTGTGGCCCAGTGCTGGTCATTAAAATACATAACGCAGCTGTAAATAGAGAGCTGACAGTGGAGTCGAGCGTTCTGGGTCTATGTACTGTTTCACGTGGAGGAAATCTTTGTCCTGTTTCAGGTTCCACATCTTAACTTTGGAGGGGATTCACTTTGTGGTCTGGAAAGTATTTGGAATCTCTGGATGCAAAGTGCTTATAAAAGCACAAAAATTTCGTTGAGGAATGTGATCATTCCTGACTTGAGGATTATAGGCAAGTAGGGATGTGAGAGACATCATGAGGTCATCTAGTCTAGTCCTCTGCTCAAGACAGGATTGGCTCTAATTAAACCATCCCAGCCAAATATATGTCTGTTCAACCTGCTTCTGAATTTTTTTTCATGACATTGTTTTAGAAAATACAACAGTAATATAAAAACACTATTTTTTATAAATAGTTAATATAGCAGTAATATACTATATTGCATCTAAAACTTCCCCTATGAGTTAGAGAATGAATAACGGATAATAACGTTACTTACAGCACAACTAGATACTAGTGATGGAGTTGGTAAAAGGACCCATGTATAAATGCCATATTACTGAAGGCTTGATAGAATTGCGAGAACATTCTTAGCAGATATTGAAAAATTATATTGAATGCAGACACAGAAGATCAGAAGAACTTGCCAGCAAGGTGCTTACAAATTTCAGCAAGATGACTCATGAAAAGACCAGGACCCTATATTTTGTGGTGGAGAAGAGCTGTGGAAAAGGATAAGATCCTACTTTGCCACTCCATAAATAACTCCTCTCTATTCTAAGGCTTTTCCCAAAGAGCAGAGATGGCAGCTGTCATGCTGAATATGATTACCAATCCATCAAGTTCAGTACCACTGCACCACCTTGGTAGGCTGGGGGACATCAAACCAGTCTGCTTCTGAACAGTCCATTGTCACCAGCTCTACACACTCATGCTCTGTATCATTCACCATCCCACCCTCATGTTCCTCCCACAAGCCAAATGGCAGGACACTTTTGCTGAAGGCTAGAATCCCTGGTGGACCAGTGTGTATTCCACCTTAATGTCATGAGCCTCCAGGGATCTAAGTCAGTGGCTCCTGCACAGAGCCATTGGCATGGGTATTATCTGGTATGCTTCACAGGCTCTTCTGCAACACCTGCCTCTTCTGTAGTCAGAGGGATACCCTGGCACATGCCTGCCTCAGGTGAACAAGGCTGCAGCCCCTCTGCTGCTTCCCCAAGAGCTTATTATTAAGATTCTGCCCACACTTTTCCCTGTGTTTCTTATTTTTTGTACATAACCCCACAAAGCCTCAGGACCTTCTGATCAACCTCCTTCTGGTCCTGGCCAAGCTATCCATCTATCCTGCCAGGAAGGAGGTGCGGTCTGGAGGGGACCCAGGTGACTCTGGGACTTGTTTTTCTTTCATTCATCCATGCATGTCTCCAGGCAGAGTTTCACTGGGTGGTGTCCTTAAGCTCCTTATATATGTTCCAGGCACAGTGGGTGCTAATAGGTTTTCTCTGCTCAATATCCCCCTTAGAACATTTGACACTCACTCCTCTCCCTGATTTTTGTCCTTTGTCCTAGGCATTTAGTGATTACATAGTGGCCGTCCTCTAACAACTGAAGGAGGCTTGTAGTTTCCTGGTGGACCTACGCCCACTGTGCCAGTATAGCAACTGGGCCTGGCTCCTGCTGTTGCTGTTATTAGATGTTTTGGAAGTGGGCACATATGACCCACTTCCTTATTAGAGAATGTTATGATAATCTTCCTTTTAAGAGTTGTTTATTTCCACTTTCAGTAAAATACTGGTTGACTTGTATCCTGAAACAAGATGATGCTTTTCCTTACATAAGTAGTGATATTAAAAAAAAAAAAAAAAAAGCCGTGCGCGATTAGGAGCTAAACTCCTGTTTGACTTATTTGGCCTTTGTCTCCTCTTTTGTTTTGGTTTTTTTTACCTGTGGCATTTTGTAGGTTTGTCTTTGCTTTTTCCCACTATAATACTTTGTACTTGTGGTATGTAAGAGAGGTTGGAAAAGACATTCTTGGGCTTCCATTGGACAAATGATTGCCTGCAGATGTAGAGGACAGTATTAGAAGGGTCCTCCCAAGTTACTGCTTCTGTGTTCTTTGACTTTCAATGGAGCCTGGGTTCCTAAACCACTCAGACCAATTTTAAAAATTCCACCCTGGTACTCTAGGTAGTATAACTATTACTCTAATTTAATTATATAAGTATTTAATTACTCTGCAATCCTACTAAGAGGTTTATTTCACTGTCTTGTAGCAGTGAGTCTCATAAGTGATTTATGAGAATTGTGTGAGTATTTTTAAAAAAAGAACAAAGTAATTCCTGTGTGAGTTTCACATTTACCTTTAACTTAACTGCTTGGCCTGTCACTGTTTTGTGTTATGTAGAGCAGGGACATCAAATACACAGCCCATGATACTGCTGTAGGTCTCAGACTACAGCATGCAGTGTGTACCCCATCAGCCCTATATGTTAGATCAGGCTGGCTCTGATGAGTTTGACATCCCTGATGTAGAGCAAGGGTGTCAACTTCAAATGAGTTGGTGAGCTGGTATTGCCTTTGGGACTTATTGCTGTGGCTGCCACAAGTGTAGTGTCGGCAAGGCCAGCATGCGGGGGTATCAGTGCTGCTGCCACTTTTTCCTCTGTCATGACTTTGCAAGCTGAGTGGCAAATAAAAACCTGGATATTTTGTGGCGGTAGGGGAAGGAGTAGCACTAGGTCCTTGGCTTCTGGCTGCAGTGGCAGAATGCCTCTGGGAACAACAGTGAGATCCAGATCCAGAGTTGCATTGTCTGGCCAGAGAGAGAGCCCACAGGCTGGATGACTTACCTAATGTAGGGTAGTGGTTTCCAAACTGCAGTTTGTGTATCACTGTGGCAAGCAGCCCATGGTTTGCTTTTCTTCCTATGCTTCATCTGAAAGTTTAAGGGTATGTGATGGTCCATGACATTTTGAAGGTTGACAGGGGTCTGTTTTCCCCCAAAATTTGGGAATCACTGATTTAGAATAAATAGCAGCAAACATTCTATGTAACATTCTCTGTTATAAATCTGTGTAGTTTCCTATTTTTATTTATAACTAAACTAAGACAAGCTAATTTTATTTCAACTCTGTCCTTTTTTTTTTTACCCTTCTCTAAGCATGTTATTCCCATTTATGTTAAGATGTAGATACACCACTGATTTTTTTTTTTTTTTTTTTATAGTGACATTCATTTGTGTATGGTGGCGGCGGGGGGGGTATTTTTTATAACATTCATTTGTGTATGGTGGCGGCGGGGGGGATATTCTTTATCTTTTAATATGTCCTTATATCACTGTTATCCATTTCATGGCTGTCCACTAGTTGCTGAGTGGTAGGTGTGAAATTGACGTGAGTTAAGGTATTTTCGTTTCATCTGCAGCATGTTGTTTGGGAAGTCAACACCTACAAGATCTGTTTTTCTGCATTGGGTCACATTGTTATGTTTACTATATGTAGGATTGGTAACACTGTTTATTAACAGTGCCAGACGCTCCCTGTTATAAACCCTATTTTAGTTGCTTATAACTATTGGTAAATTTGAAGTGTGGCAGTTGATATTATTCTCTATAGTTGGTGTTTCCCTCAGGCTGGAAAATTTCATAAAAAATTAGGGGGAAATGCACGTTAGGGAAATTATGGTGATTTCTCATTGATTTATTTTTAAGGAATGCTTTAGTGTCTCCATGCTTCAGAGTACGAGCCATAGAGGTTTAAGGCCAGAAGGTCATTTAGTCCAGTGGTTTCAAACTTTTTAGTTTAATAGATTACTGTCAACCACCACCTTTTTTGCTGGCCACTATTTGCCCATATCAAACCCTTTATTAAAAACACTCAAACTTCTCCAGGCAACTTAAATGGATCAGTGCTTTTCCTTGTCACAGCCAGCCAACCTCATTGTACAAAAATAGTTCCTGGTGTTCACTATGGCTTCCGACATAGCACATCCAATCAATACCATTGCTTCCAGTGGATTCATTCCTAGCTTTAAAAATAGTTTTTACTATAGTATGTCTTAGTAATGATTACTGAAACAGGAAGTCTCTCTGCTAAATTCACACCTGACAAATGTCAGAATATTAGCACTTTTAACACAGCTAGTGTAATCAATTTCATAGCAGAGAACACTTATTTTGATGCTGGTTATTTCTTTATGCTGGTTTTCAACCATTTGTTTTATTAGAGCTTATCTGGTATGATTAGAAAATGAACTTCAGACATTTTTGCTTCTGAATCTTTCTTCTCCTTGCAATAGAAATCATTACCTCTTTGTTGTTGGTAAGATCAAGTCTTTCCTGGTTGTGTGAGAATTCCCTGTCTCTGCGATAAGCAACTTAGAGAAGCTTTTGCAGTCCTTGTATATTGAATTTATTGATGAAGGGCAGGCTTATCAACCCATTCTCCTGTAACACTTTTCAGCTTGTAGTTTAAGTAAAACACTTGTGTGTGGCTTCTAAGTAGTGCTGAAAATTGCCTCATTTTAAATTTTGGTTTAGTAATATTCGTAACAAGCAGCATGCTGAGGTTGTGGCTCATCTTCATACCTATCCACAAAAATCCCATTTCCAAATACTTCCTAGAGTACTTTTGTACAACCTTCTCTTCTTTCTGATGAACAGGTTAATTTAAAATACAAAGCTGCAAATATGTTAGTTTTTATCACTTGTCTTAATGGCCCCATTCTTAACCAAGAGTCTGTTTTTTTTTGGCTGGAGTCCCCGGTGTTTCAGTGGTAGCATCTGGTGTTGAGGGAGCTGGCAGGGGTCATCACGGAGCCCTTGGCCTGGCTGTATGAG